ACTTAGTCTAATTTTTCCTACACATAAAATATATTATATGATTTGAATTGAATTGGCAGGTTAAAGATTGTCTCTATTTGGATGTTTTTATTTTGTTTTAGAATTTGAGTAGTTTGGAAAAGGAATCTGCAGAAGTACAACTTATTTCAACTTTAAATTGTAACCCGTAGCATTTTATTTAAGGGGACTTTACAAATAAGCCCATCAATGGGTACTTATTTATAAAAAGATCAAGACAAAAAACTCTTTTACCAATAAGTCCACGCATGGTCCAGATTTTAGTAAAGGACTAAAATAACCTCTCATACTTTAATATGCTCCAATTTTATCCGTAACTTAATTTAACTTCAATTTGACCCCAAATTTCACAAATTATTCAATTTTGACCCAAAACTTTTTTTTTCAAATTTTTTTTTTTCAAAAACTTTTTTTTTACCCGCCGGACTCCGGCGTTGACTTTTTCAAAAAAAAAAATTTCTTTCTTTCTTCCGGATTTTTTTGCCGGATTCCGGTGTTGACTTTTTAATTTTTTTTTTTCGTTTAAACAGCAATATTGCTGTGATTGACAGTAATATTAACTATCTTACTGTTAAACACAGTAAAATTAACTAAACTATAGTTTAACACAGTAATATTGCTATATTAATCTCTAGCACATTAATATTAACACAACAAAACTCATTATTATTGTGTAATAAAGTAATATTACTATGTTGACCGTTCAACAAATGTAAACATAATAAAAAAAACCAAAAGAATTAATATTACTGTGAGTGACAGTAATATTACTATAGCAACAGTAATATTACCGTCAACCACAGTAATATTACAATAATAGACAATAATATTATTACGTTACTCCGTGAATAACTCAAACAAACAAAAAATCCAAACAAAATAATAATATTGATGTGGTTGACACCAATATTACTATAACAACAGTAATATTACCGTCAACCACAGTAATATTATTGTGTTTACAGTAATATTACAATAATAGACAGTAATATTATTACGTTACTCCGTGAATAACTCAAACAAAACAAAAACCCCAAAAAAATAATAATATTGATGTTGTTGACAGTAATATTATTGTGTTTACAGTTATTTTACTGTCAACGACAGTAATATAATTACGTTGACTTGTCAAAAAATCAAACAAAATAAAAAAAAAACAATAAAAAATAAAAAATAATAATATTACATTAATTTACTGTCAACGGCAGCACAATTACATAAAAGTAATGTCAACGGCAGTACAATTACGTCAATTAACTATCATTGACAGTATAATTACGTTAATTTACTGTCAGTGACAGCACAATTACGGTTAACGTTTAGCGGCGGACGTGGAAAAACAAAACAAACAAAAAAAAAAAAAAAAACTTAAAACAACACATAAAAAAGTCAACGCCGGAGACCACCGGAAACCGGCGAAAAAATCCGGAAGAAAAGAAAAAAAAAAAAAAAAAAAGGAAAAAGCAAAAAAAAAAAGTCAACGCCGGAAACCGGCGAAAAAATCCGGAAGAAAAAAAAAAAAAAAAAAAAGTCAACGCCGGAATCCGGCAGCAAAATTTTTTTTTTTGAAAAAAAAAAGTTTTGGGTCAAAATTGAATAATTTGTGAAATTTGGGGTCAAATTGAGATTAAATTAAGTTAAAGGATGAAATTGGAGCATATTAAAATATGCTCCAAAAAAAAGTCAAAATTGAAACCGGCGAAGAAAAAAAAAAAAAAAGTCAACGCCGGAATCCGGCGGCAAAATTTTTTTTTTGAAAAAAAAAAGTTTTGGGTCAAAATTGAATAATTTGTGATAGTTGGGGTCAAATTGAGATTAAATTAAGTTAAAGGATGAAATTGGAGCATATTAAAATATGCTCTAGAAAAAGTCAAAATTGAATTTTTTTGGTCAAAATCTGATTTTTGTGGACAAAATTGATTAAATTGGGATTACAATTAAGAATTGGGTATAAATGGTTGAGGGTAATATTGGGATATACATGAGTGTTTCCTTTATTTATAATAAATATTAAAGTGATGGGCTTATTGGTGAAAGAGATATGTCCCCTAAACCTAGAATAATAAACATACTTGGTTGGGGACTTTATCACAAAAACCCCTTTATTTAATGTAGCAGTCAAATCATATTCGAACATTTTAAAATATATATCGAAAAGTAAAATATTTGTTTCATTAGATTTTGATGTATGTAAAAAATATTTAGAAAAAAATAGAAAACGAAGTAGTATTTCCTTATATGTTAGCAAAGACATATTTGCCAGCACCAAATTTTAAAGAGAATTCTCAATCCTGAAATTAAATGAAAATGCATTCTAATCGCTATGCTAGAGTTGAAAATAATTTCATTGGCTTCGCCGGGACATATACATAGGAGTGAATGTTCGGACAGAATTTTCAGTCTTCGTCGGTTTCGATTCCAAGAGTTTTAATTTTTGAACAATTCCTTTCGTTCCTCTATTCAATATTTTGATTTCCGATTTTTACGATTTTGTTGGCTTGATATTGGATGTAATTTGATTGTTTGATATCATTTTAATATCCAAAATAATTCAGGAAAATTTAAAAGATGCACATATAAACAATATTTATTTAGTTTACGTGGTCAAAAATTTAATTTATATTATAATTGTCGCTTTATATTGCTGAGTTTATAATTTTTTTTTACGTTTACAGTTTCTCATTCACAAAAAAATCGGATTTTCTTTATTTTCCCATTTTTTTCGCCTCATTCACGAAAAAATACCATACCTTTTTATAAATTTCAAATTTATGTGATTTCTGAAATTTTAAAAACTTTTGGAAACAAAACATAATTCTAATTTTCATAAAAAACGTGGGATTGGATTTGGAAGTAGTTTTGAACTTAAAAAAAAAAAAGGATAAATAACACTTACCTATGTGGTTTGAGCTTTGTGCACGTGACCCCCTTATACTTTCAATAAAGCACATAAGCCCCTTGTATTTTAATATCAGAACATAATCCCTTGTACTTCTGATTTTTTTTTTCCTAATGAACATAATTATTTACCAAGTAGTAGGAATGACAATTTAACGCGCCGCACCGGGTAGCCGCCCAGATTTACCGGGTATCCCTTCCCCGTTAGCTAATGAGACAGGTGTGGGTTTTAAATAGGGTAAAGTCCACTTTCTTCCTTGTACTTTGACTCGATATCACTTTACCCCCTTCTACTCTCAATTGAATCGATTTGCCCATTGCACTTGAAAAATTGTGTCAATGTGGCCATTGCCGTTAGTTTTTAGACCTTTGACCTTAACACCGTTATCTAAGTCTGAAAATTACAAAAAACCACCCCTCCCAGTTTAAATAATTATTAAAAAATGATAAAAAAAAATTGTGGCAGGCGTCGTGAACTATGTTTTGTCGTTGTCTTGATTTTTTTTTTAATTTGTTTTTTTTTTTTTGTTTTTTTGTTTTTTTTTTGTCTTGTAATAATTATTTAAACTGGTAGAGGTGGTGTTTTTTGTAATTTCAAACTTAGATCAAACGGTGATAAGGTCAAATGTCTGACAACTAGTAGCGAGAGCCACATTGAGACAATTTTTCAAGTGCAAGGGGCAAATCGATGCAATCGAGAGTAGAAGGGGGTAAAGTGATATCGAGCCAAACTACAAAGTGGAATTTACCCTTTTAAATATATGCACTCGTACCCCGCCCATAACCAACCAATTTATACATTTTTATTAATTTTAAATATTTTCATATTAAAAATAGACAAAATTTAATTAAATAAATTATAATTATAACAAAAATTATATTTTTTACGGGTACGAGACGGGGCAGATACACATAGATTTTATATGGGACGGGAGCGGGTTTGAGAAATCACACCCATAATAAGTATGCGGCGGGGCAAGTACACATGGGTTTTAAATGGGAGGGGGGCGGTGTGATAAATGCACACCCGTGGTACGGGTGGGTAATTTTGCTAGACGGGCGGATTTTCAAAACCCGCCCTGTACCCACCCATGGCCATTCATACTAAGTGAAATACAATAGGGGTTATGTTTAATATTAAAAATAAAAGGGGGTCATGTGCACAAAATTCAAATTATAGGACAGTCATGTGTTTATATTGAATGTACAAGGTGTCTTGTGCACAAATCTCAAACCACGGGGGTTTAAGTCCTATTTACCCTAAAAAAATGATTTTTTATAATTATTAAATTAGGCTAATCTTGTGTACAACTTTCAAAACATTAAAAAAAGTGTAAATAGCACTTAACCCCCTTGTGGTTTGGACATTTTGCACATGACCCCCTTATGGTATGAATTTATGCACATAACCCCCTTGTGATTTTTACATTTTGCACATGACCCCCTTATGGTATGAAATTAGGCACATAACCCCATTGTGGTTTTGAAATTTTGCACATGACCCCCTTATGGTATGAAATTAGCACATAACCCCCTAGAATAGAAAACTGAAAAAGACTAAATTACCCCTATCAAGTCAAAAGTTATTGTTTTAATTTAAAAATAATTATTTTATAAAATAAAAAGCTTATTGTAATTTTTTTTAAATGAGAAATATAATATATTATTGTGTTTTTTCTATTTTACCACACATATATTGTTTTTAAAAAAATAATTTTCATTTCAACTTTAGAGAAATATTTTTTTTAGATTTTTCTAAAAGAATACAAAAAATAAAGACATTATTTCTTAAAAAATTAAAGTTCGATAACAGATATAATATAATATATTATATAGAAAATAGTAATATAATAATCAAAATTAATGATAATGTTAAAGATTTTCAAATTGATTTTTAAAATCGAATAAATTGTCAGTCGTACAATAACTAGTATTTTATACCCTTGTGCTGTAAAATTAAAAAAAAAAAAGACACAATAATA